AAAAAAAAAAAAAAAAAAAAAAAAAAAAAAAAAAAAAAAAAAAAAAAAAAAAAAAAAAAAAAAAAAAAAAGTCGATACGTATGACACTCATTTTCGTCGATCCTCCCACTTCACGATTCTCCTACGCGTCGTCGCTCAGTCGATACATATTTTATTTTATTTCGCCTTTGCGTTTTTTCGCCTAAGCGGACATCTCTGAACAGGGCCTTATACTTAGGCAGTGTTCACAGTTTGCGCCACACGAGGAGGACGCTTGAAACGAACGAATCTGCGCAAATGCGTAAAGAATTAAATGCGTATCGATCCACAAAATGGGACGAGCGTCAAATCGCGCATTCGAATCAGCTAATCCTTCTGAAAGAAGTGAGTGTCCATCGGTCGAGCCAATCGGAGATCGTCACCATCGACAACGCGAAACGACGGTGCAAAAATCCTCCAGCAACGCTAATACGGGCGTGCTCTACAATGTCGACACGCATCTAATCCTTTTCGCATTTGCATTCGCGCGTGCGCAGATTCTTAAGGTTGATATGTATCTGATTCTTTTCGCAAATTTGAATATTCGATGATTTTAAAACTGTGCAACAGTGCCTTAGAAAACAGCGAATGAACAAAGGCAAGGTAATGACGAAAAAAGAAAAGCGAATAACGAAGCGAAACAAAGGGTGAAAAACCCGAAACTGCCTTCAATTCTCCGCGTCGCCAAGTGAGGGGACGAATCCCCCTAGTCTCGACTAGGGGGATATATCCCCTGCCTGCAGAGACGCAGAGGGTCGACGGCAGTGACCGTCCCGCACGGTTGCGTCATAGGAGCCACCGAAAAACGATGGGTCTTGCGACGAAGTAGGGGATATATCCCCAAGGTTGGGGATCCCTCCCTAGTTGGGGCTTGCTGCACCCGGCCCCAGGAAATGCATGCTAGTCCGGACAACTCGTGCGACACACCCCCTCCTTCATTTCAGGGGAAAGAGATAAAGGATAAAGGATAAAGCATTGCCGTGATCATCCATTGGTTTGGGATGGCGGCACGCATACTATTCCATTGTAAATTCGTAGTGGCGTTTGAAAAGGGAAGCTGGTGTTAAAAGGCTTCGCCCGCGTTTTCTTCGTTTTTTCAATTATCAGCTCGCCACTTAATTCATTATATCGACCTTCCTACCCCGCGAAGTCGATCTGGAGTGTTGCTTTAAAGTGCATTTTTGAGCGTATTAGTGGTCCTATACTACACTGACCCCGTCGCACCTTTCGGGCGGGATGTTTTGAGTGATTTTTGCTTACCCATTTAGCTATTCACATTTCCGTCCAGAAATCAGTATTCATATAGAATAACTGTCGAGATTGTTACCTATAAATTTCGATTATTCATGTTGTGAAATGTCAATCTATGTGGGGATGCAACAACTGTAACATGTCGTATAGAGTAGGACTGATTGCCAATTCATGGTTATGAGATCGGAAGTGATGTAGAGGGTCTGGGACATTTAGGGTTTTGAATTTTCACTTAGCAAATTTGTTCCTGTCACACGCCGCAAATGGAGCGAGCGGTACATTGTCTGAATTCCAAGTGCCGCGCCAAGTTGTCACACACGACCGGACAGCCAACTCGCGAGGAGAAGATCTGGATCTGGCCGAAAGACCTAGGTCCTATCGACCGCTCCCACCTTCTAATTAAAAGGCAAAGTTCGCAAATGGATTAATTTTTTATTCGTTTGAGGATTCCTTTTCCGTCAGTCCAACGGCTGTGGTGAAATCACTATCACTCTGCCCATAAGTACGACCGATTCGCCTACATTTACGAATCCTTCCGCAGAAGACTTTGCAACTCATGGACCAGAGTAAGCTGAGCGTGTTCCTAATCGTTCGGTGTTATTACAAATCTTCATAGTTCGGCTCAGAGAAGACTCAGGTGCAGATAAAAAGTAGATAAAGAATTACCCTTTACTGCCCCACTCCTCGAGAACTGAGCCGGATTTTTATCGAAATTTGTCCATGACTGTGGATTTGGCTAGAAACTTGCTTCAGGGGTAATTCGACCCGTAGAACACGAATATCGCATTCGTTTAGCGCGAAAACGCTTGGCGCCCGCGCCACAGGCGCCGGCGCCAAAAGGCGCCATAACACCTCGGGTAGACATGAATATCACATCAGTTTGTTGCGAGTGAGCCTGTAGCCTGCGCTACGGGTGCTGGCGCCAAACTAATGTGATAGCGTCGGCGCCTGTGGCGCGGGCGCCAAGCGTTTTCGCGCTAAACCGATGTGATATTCGTGTTCTACGGGTCGAAATACCCCTGAGACAAGTTTCTAGCCAAATCCACAGTCATGGACAAATTTCGATCAAAATCCGGCTCAGTTCTTGAGGAGTGGGGCAGTAAAGGGTAAATAGTGCCGATAGAAGTGAGAGAAAGGGGAGGTTGAATTTTAGTAATGGGTGGGAGTAGGAGTGGAGCGCTTCGTTGAGGTGGGCGAGGTCAAAATCCAAATTTCATAAAATGATCGAAATACTGGTTCAGCGCTTAGAATAGAAGCGAAGGCTAGCGAACAATGGGTATTTAAACTTCTGAGTGGATGGAGTATGCGCCTGATGGTCACAAAAAAATTCAGCTGCCCTTTCGTTCTCGCTGAAGCGCAGTGATACACAAGCGTTAGTGTGCGGAGAAAAACTGGTGCAGCTATACAGAGCTGATGTGAGTCTAAAAACGTTACGCTAGGAAGGACCGTGAGTGTGGCAGACAGCGTTTTTGACCACGGCGCTTTCGGCTAGCGTGGCTAAGAATGTGTAGATAAAACATGAAACTGAAAAATCTCTTGTTTTGGTCCATGATTTTTCAATATTCTTTATTAGTAAAACTTCGTATTCGCGTATGATAATTCAATTTGGAATATCTTCAAGTGTGTACGACATTATTATTATTACATTCGGAAATTATGAATCGGTAGTGGTTTCTTCAGCAACTTTTTTCGATTTTTTCGATTTTTTCGCTTTTTCCTTGTTTCCGCCGGTCTTTTGCTCGTAATCGACTCTTTCCTCCCTTTCAATTGGGACATCCTCGATCACGTCCACCGATTCTACTGCATGGTCTGCGTCATACGGTGTCGCGTACGTCAGCATATATCTGAATGTCGTCAATATTGTTATAATATGATAATAAACGATTGAACTGAAACTTGGATTCTATTATGACAGCAGATATAAATGAAGCAACAATGCAACGGTCGTCGGTGATCGGCGGTTTACACCGTGCTTTCTATATCCAGTTAGTATCGCAGAGGCAGTTCAATGCTCTGCCTATCCACCGACTTCGACTAGCCAGTTTTCTTCTCGGCGACCTTACCCTCTTATCACATTGACGACCACTGTTCGGTGCGCGCATGCTGAACCTTTTTTAAAATTTGTCATAAATAGTGATTATTTCGCCAATAATATGATTACTATTAGAAAGAGTACACAGGGTGGCTACTAAATATTGGCGCATGGTTAATTGACCATATTTCCAAAAAGAGAATCTATTAAATCTTCAGAGGTTTATCTTTATATACAGTAGAACATAACAATTCATTACTAGAGAAGATGCTCGGAAAGAAGTCCTCCGGCGGCGATACAGGCTTCAAGTCTCTTCTCAACTGACACACCGTGGGCCGCAAGCAGTTTTCGTCGAGTTACTTCAACGCTTCCTCCTAGGAAGCCTTCAGGAAGTCCAAACTTCGATGTTGCCTAGAAGGCATCTTCTGCTGCAGGAAGCCCCACACCGCAAAATCCATTGGGTACAATCGGGTGAGTTAGATGGCCAAACATCTGGTGACCAGTAACCTGGAAAATGGCGGTCACAGAACACCAGCGTAGATTTTGCGGCATGGGGAGGCGCCTAGTCTTGCTGAAGAAGGCACTGACATTTGCTGGAGGTCGAAACAGTCCATCACGTAAAATTGTTTCCTGGTAGATCTGGGCGTTAATTTTGACGGATTTGTCCACAAAGACAACGGTGTCTCGGTGTCGGAAGTAATTCCTGCCTAAATCATGACAGATTTTGGAAATCGGCTCCTTGTGTGCGCACGACGTCGAGCAGGATGCCTGCTAGCCGGATCCAACAATTGCCTGTCCTTTTGAGAATTGTGCGCCAATTCCAGTGTGATGATCTTCTCGCGTCACGTTGACGTCACTTACTTGCGGCCCACGGTGATGTCAGTTGAGAAGAGACTTGAAGCCTGTATCACTGCCGAGGGAGGCCATTTCGAGCACCTTCTTCAGTGATGCATGGATATGTTTTACTGTATATAAAAATAAACTTCTGAATATGTAATAGTTTCTCTTTGCAAAAATATGGTCAATAAACCATGCGCCAATATTTAGTAGCCACCCTGTACTGTTCTCTGCAACCGATAATGCATATGGACCACTGGAAGGTGAAAATGGAGGCATAAATTGAGAAGAACGAGCCTCTCCGAGCGGAAGTGCGGGACATATGTATCCCGCGCTGTCCCCAATGTGTTAATGTTAGAAAGGCCTCGCACCAGTGCACCCATATATTTTGAATTTTTGTCACGATAGTTTCCCCTTTCCATCTTTCATGATATTTTGCTTATACATGCTGCCCACTGATTTCGAAGTTGTTCGGGCCTTCCTTTGTGATTTGCAGCCATCAAGCTCCAACAGAGCGCTATGCGAGGCGTTTTCGTCGATTTCTCAAATTTTCAAACACTGTTCAACAGTGTTCAAACTCGGTATTTGTTCACAACCATGAGCGTGTCCTTACTTCAGGTAGGGTTACAGGTGGATTCAGCAGAGGTTTTGCTAAAGAAAAAGACTGAGAGTGGTCCAGGAATAGTGCGCCCAGCAGATTTCCGACTTCTTCATCACAACGAAAGGCTATCATGTTCCTGCTTAGGCTGATATAAATATGCTCATGTTTGGACCTGCTTGGAGAGAAATTTTGCCCTATCGAATACCCAAGCTGGAACCCTCTCAAAATGGCGCCTTTGAAATCTTGGGACGAAATTGATGAAAAATACTTGCGTGTCGCATGCGCTGAACTTGCTACACGTGTGAATAACTGGCGAAGGTTAGAAGCGATCACTTTGAGAACGGTTAACCCCTTTGGCGACAATGGCACCCACCGGTGGGTGCCACTATGACCGTCGCGTGGGACAATGGCACCCAATGGTGGGTGCCACCCTAAAATTTTCTTCTTTACCCATTTAAAACATTTTCAACATATCAGTAATTATGCAAGCTCCGTTACGCCTATGTTTAGCATATTTTGCAGAAATGTTTGTTACTAGCTAATTTATATGAAGTTTTAGGATATGGCACTTCGCTCGGCGATGTATTAATTAGTGTTTTACATTATTAAGCTTAAGGTGAATTACAGATCAGGACCTCTACGTCTTTTCACAGTTTAAGACACAAGAGGAGTTTGAACTATATCGAAAATTCTACTGTACATTTGAATTTCTAGAGTTTTCAAACACCATCCCTTTGAAATCCGAGATTTCTTTCCAAACTTCCACTTCTAATTCCAACAATACATGATCATAAAGCTTAAGACTGCAGTCATATTTTATTTATGTCATAGTCAAAATTTTGATAGAAAAACTGCTTTTAGGGACAATTTTGCCCCATTTTGTGCGAGAGTTGGGCGCGCGCCAAAAAGAGGCGTGGTCCCACGAGCACGCTACGTGCAAATCCGCATTGTCGTCAAAGGGTTAACCTACGTATTGAAAAACTTCATGGTTCTCGCAAAATGATATCCGTGTATAGATTGATTCGGAGGGTGCATCTTGAAACATCGACAAAATATGGTGCACCAGTATTTTGCCACACCTTGTACAGGGAAAGCAAAAAAAAAGAGAAACTTTGTTCATGACGCATTTCGGCAGGCTTTAGCTTGCATGGATGATGTGGTCGAAAAAGTCCTCGGCAAAATATTTTTATTCTGCCTATCAAGACCCCTGCTGAACAGCGTTTCAGATACCGTCGTATGGTCCACATTGCCTGCCAAAAAGTTTGAAGCATGCACAACGTTTCTATGGCAAATCTCTCTGGTGCCGTCAGTGTAGAAGGGTTAGGTTTATTGATGTAATGGAATGTGCACTTCTCTTTTCAACTGAGAGCATTTGGTTTGAATTTACCAAATAGTGATTAATGCCGATATGATGTTGAGTGAGTGTCTCTTTTGTGGGCCACTCCTAGAAATCAGGGAGGATGGAAGGTCTGGTCCGGAGCCGGCTTAGGGAAGGGCCCCACACCTGCCTTCGCTCTTGCACTACCTTACCGTCAGCCAACCACCTCTGTTTTTGTAATCCCCTTTTCCAGAGCTGACATGAGTAAATATCCAGCCCGCGTGTGGTTCCCAGCTTTTCGCACGTCTGTGGCCAGCCTACACCACAAACTCCTCCATCCTGTAGCGTCGTGTTCAACGCCAATTTTTAGCACCTACTATTCTTCTTCTCATCAGTTCTCTTCTCACCAATCTTCTCTACCCTTGTGATCGACCCCCTCCTCTCTTTTCCTCGCTTCCATCGGCACCTCCTCCCTCCATTATGCAATGCGAGCTCAATATCTCCATTGTTGAAGGGGTTTTTCACAACACTTTGCACGCTAGAACGAAGCTAACTAGAGCTCAAAAATACTGTAAAGACTTTTTTGAAACTCACTTGCCGTCGATCTCCACTTTACAAACCAAATCGCCAGCAAAGTGAACATTTTGCGCGAAATCCGACAAAGCGACAACACTCTCGAAAGGATGACCAAACATCTCCTTCGCTTTTTTGCTGAAATAGGATTCCGCAGTTTTTTATTTTGAGACGTTACAATACTGTAGCTTCTCAAAAATGATATACCATAACGAACATAGCCGAGAAGTGGAGTTTCTGAAAGTCAAAAGCCCGATTGGAATGGTTGATTTCGAACCAGAAGGTCTGATAAGAAAACAACCCACGAGCTGCTTTTACAACATGAAAAAAAGTTGGGCACGGCATGGTACATGCGGGGCTGAGATATGTGGTGAGGCTGACTTTCAGAATGCACTTCTCTTACTTCAATTGTTCGAGCCTTTTCTGTACCTGGTTAACCTGATCGACAACTGTTAACAGGCACAAATACTAATTTAATAAAAAGCAGGGCAAAGGTAAAACGCAGTCTTTTTTTACCACCCGATATTAAAATCTGCTACAGTCAGGACGTTCGAAATCAAGCAGGCTTAGCCCACCTAATTTGGGACGAGATTCGAATCCAAGGTCTGTAACGCGAACTTACATACGCGAGGGAAGTGGCGCCACATGTCACTGCACTAACCCCGCCCTACAACCAATTAACTAAGGTTCGTTGAGTTATTTATTTATTTGAGTTTTCGTAATCTAGTCTTACCTGAATGATGTTGGCCATTCGTGCGATATTACATGCGCTGTAGCCTTGCACGTTCTTTACCGTTTCGAACGTATCCTCAATAAGATTGTTCAGTTGCAGATTACAGCAGACGTATCCTGAAGTAATAGCCAAATATTTTTAAAGTCACTGACTATTTCGGAAGACGAGAAGAAAATCGAGTGCAGACCACACATCATAAGAGACGACGGCCAAGAGAAAACGGCTTTTTTTCCTTGGCCGTCGTCTCTTATGGTGTGTGGTCTGCACTCGATTTTCTTCTCGTCTTCCGAAATCGAGGGTACATACATTTACAACAAAATTTACCACGTCCAATTGTGGTTTCATTCCCGGGAATTCTGGTCGAAATCAGGCCTTACCCCGAGAAAAATGCAGCGCAATGCAAGCGGGATCATGCACACAATTATCAGGATGATTTGATAAGGCCGAAGCGCTAAGGCCCTAAGGTGTTGCATTGGCCCCGCCCAACACCATTGACTCCATCCCACGGGCCACTGCTACTGCGCCGCCGCTACGGTATAGGGGGACTTTATTTTCGTCCTTGTTGACGGTTTCCCTCCAATTCTTCATTACGACATTACACGTTACATTCCCACCTCACAACACATCAGTTTGATTCCGGACTTTCCCTTCAAAAGCTGATGTCTGAATTTTCAGCGACGGTTCCAGCTTTTCCATCAGAACCTTCTCTCTTATGCATCCGTACTCACCAACCAACAATGCGACTAAGATTAGCCTCTGTTCTTCATCTGGATCTCATGACCCGTTCTCCTTCAAGGACCTACCGAGCATATCCGCGCTCCAGGGAGTTTCCTATGAAGGGTACCAGTTATGAGATCCAGATACAATGCGGCGTAGCTCAAATTCCCACTCGTCATCAGCCGACGCGTAGCGCGTT